TCACTCAGTCTTGTCTCTCCCTATATAGAGAGAGAGCAATAGCAGAGCTCAGAGGCAACTCTAGGCTGGGGCGGGGGATACAGGAGATGACATTTTGTGTCCTTTCGTCTCTGGCAGGGACCTCCACTCTCCCTGTGTCCAGCCCCCAGACTCTCCAGAAGTTTCCATGTGCCCCTCCTTCTGTGGGCTGAGCTCTGGTCATTCCCAGCAGGGCCTTCTGAGAAGAAATGCAGGAAGTGGCCTGCCAAGGGAAGGGCAGAGGGGATGCGTGGGCCCTGAGACCCACTGGCTTTGCTCTTAGCTGGGTTGTGGCCTCGCATGGGCTGCGGAGTGACTGGCCTTGGATCTTCTCCTGCCCGCTGAATCTCAAACTCAGAACCTGTGATTTCTGGGCCTTGTTCTGAGAATCAACCAGGACATTATAAAAAATAAAAATAAAAAAAAAAGGTTGCTGGTGTGGCATAGGAAGGGAAGGCTATTTCATATTTTTGGTGCCAACTTTGTACTTTGAAAAACAACTCCTCCCCCACTTTTGCTCTTTCTTGCACGTTCTTTCTTTCTTGGCTTCCTCCCCGTTTCCTCCCTCCCTTCCTCTCTCTCCCACCTAGTGTTTTCTGTGTCATGGTTGAGGGGAGCACAGCCCAGGGCAGCTGGCAGAAATGCCATTCCTTTTACCAAAAGACTGAAGCGTGGCGACTAACCTCTGGTGGCTACAGAAGAGCAGTCGGGTATTTGGTCAAGGATGGAGAAGAAGAAGGATGTCTCTCAGGAAAAGCATCCCTCTCGGTCCTTCTGGCCCAGCCTGGTGTCTAGCAGAAGGGCCAGTCTAGCCTGTCTCTGCAGGCCAAGGCCAGGTCCCCCGTGTGTTTCACACTGTACTCCATCAGTAGAGAGGGCTGCGTGTATCCCCCCAACGGATCTGCACACCATATAATGCATTACTGTGCCAATCTATTATGCACATTTAAAGCATATTAAAAGTAGAAAGAAAGAGATTTAAAATATTAAGAGAAGTTCTCATCTTTTCTCCTCACACCCACTGCATCGGCTTGGCCGTCTCCGGCGCCTGTACCACAGGTCGGAGTCTGCTGGCCAAGGTGTCCTTGGGGTGCTCTGGGGATCACTCTGGGGGAGGTGAGGAAGAATGGTGGTGGTCATTAGGATCCCGTTGGGAAACATCCCTGTTCTCTGCTTTAAGAGCCAAGGGTGGAGGAAGAGGGGGCTAAAGAGGAAAAGCAAGCATCTTAATCCACGTCAGCTGTCACATGAAGTCTCACAGACTGGTGGCTTCAGTCACGGATGTATTTTCTCGTAGTTCTGGAGGCTGGAAGTCCAAGAGCACGTCAGCTGTCACATGAAGTCTCACAGATGTATTTTCTCATAGTTCTGGAGTCTGGAAGTCCAAGATCAAAGTGTCAACAGGGAAGGTGTCCCCCGAGGGCTCTCTCCTTACCTTGTAGGTGGCTGCCTTCTCCCTGCGTCTTCAGTTGGTCTTCGCTCTGAGGGCGCCTATGTTCGTAAGGACACTGCCCACCCGAATGACCTTGTTTGACATTAATTACCTCTTTAAAGACCCGATCTCTAAAGTCACATTCTGAGGTAGGTCTGGGAGGGGACATCTGAATTTTGAAGGGACACCATTCAGTCCATGAGAGCATGTGAAGCAGTTATGTCCCAGTGGCGGTGGGCAGGCAGAAGTGCAGACGGAAGATGTCTTGAGAATCACCTGCTTAGGTGCTGCAAGAAGCTCAAAAAGTCACCTTCTGAGCTTGCTGAAACCCAGTTGGTTTCAGGATGAGTTCTGTGAGTCATCTCTTTTAGCAGCCACTTCCCTGACCACCCTATTAATCGGTGAGTCCCAATTCCCCTCTTGGAATGCTGAAAGCCACTTTCACTTTCCCGACCAAACTCTGACTGGTGCAGACAGGGCAGGGTTGAGAGTTTGTTCTCTTCCCAGCCCTGTGCTGCCCCGAACATGGCACCTCTTTCAGGCGAGGCTCCCAGGGCAGCGAGTGGGGGCCCTGGGTCGGCCAACCTGGGGAGGCGAGTCTCCTGGAGGAAGACAGGAGGCTGGAGCCCGGCTCATCACTGCTGACTCAGGTTCCCCTTGGGACTCTGGGTGTTCTTTGGAAAGTTGTCCCTTGTTAGTGCTTCAGTTGTCCCTGCATGGACATCTCACCCCCGGTGTGGAGAGGGCGGGAAGAAAGGGCCCTTGGGGCTCTCTGTCTGACAGAACGGTTTGGGAAGTCCACCGCGGTCCTGCAGATCGGAACCACGCCTTGCCCGATTAGCCCCCAGGGAATCTCCACATGCTCCCAGTGCCCGTGCCTGCTGGTCAGGGAAGGATCCACAGAGGACTTATCTCCTCACAGTGAGCAGCGGGTGACTTTTCCAGAGCCCTTGAACATCTGAGGTTTCTCTTCCTGAATCAATTTCCTTTGGAGACCGCCTAGCTGTCTCCATCACTGTTTGCTTTGAGCCTTTGAACAGGGTATTTAAAAATAGCGAAGCCTGAAAGCTTCCATGTGCCTGAGTGGTTCCCATCAGATAGGGCCCACTGTCATGCTAGGCCTGTTTGTGCTGGCAGAGGCCCTTTCGGCCACACTATCATCTTTCTCCTCCAGCCCACCCGCCACAGCCTTCTAACCCAGGCCTCAAGACCGCAGGCTTCAGGGCGCTGACATAGAGGATCCGGGAGGGGGCGATGCTCCTGCTCCTGCCCAGAAGCCCGAGGAATGTTGTCACGGAGTTCAAAACTGCCTTTCTAAATAAGATAGATAAGGTCCATGGGAGGGAGGCTCAGCCACAGTCACCAGTCCACGAGGCACATGCTTAGCTGGAGCCACTGGGCAGCTAATATAGCATCAGGCTGTGTCTCTGAAAAAAGAAGCTGCATCCTCCCTGGAATGTCACCTCCACTCCCCCCACACTCTGGGTCATCACCTTCGGTTCAGTGTCTCTTTCTCCACCAGTAGGCTCACCCCAGCAATTCCCCGATGGCCCTGAGACCTCTAACCGGGGACCCCACTGCCCCAGCCCTGCTGTCACCCCCGGCCCCGTGTCCCCATGTCCTCTCTTCCCTCCTTACTCGATTAGGATTCCTGTGTCCAACACTGCGATTGCTCCTTTGCAAAACACTTCAACTTTTGCCTTTCCTGTCTCCAACCTACCTGCCTGGCACGTTCCCTCTGCGCTCCTTGCCTTGTCCATGTCTGCACTGGGACAGCTAGTGCAGACATGGACATGGCGAGAGAGAAAACTCACTCAACCCCACTCACTGGATTGGCCTCACATGTGTGACCAACAAGCCTCAGATGGGCAGCCAACAGCAGAGGACGATTCCACTACACTTTCCTAAGAAATTTACAAGTCCGTTCTCTAAATAATTATTTTAAAACTTCTTTTTCCTTGAACCTCCAACATCTCACCCCCAAGTCACTCTCTTAAGTTCTTAGAGAAAACAGGAAGGATGCAATGAGACTCTCCTCCTCTTCCCACCAGAGATTTCCCTAACCCAGGCGGCTTCACCCACACCCCGACCCTATATCGAAAGTGTCCTTGCTCCTCTCCCAGCCCAGCCCCTCACTGGGTCTCCAGCTCTGGCGCCCACACTCTTCCTCAAGACCTTCACTGTTATAATTACCGTCTTCTCTCTCATGCACCATCAGTTTCTATCAGATCATTCCCATTGGCATACCTTGGATGCCAAGACCTTTATTATGCACTTCATCATTATACATTGTTAATATATGATGTTACATTATTATATGTCTATTATACATCGTCACAAGAAAACCAAAAATTGTTTCCTTGATGTTATGCCTTTGCTTAGGGTGGAGTTTTTCTGTCTCCTACACCTCTATTCAGTGGTTGATCGCTCAAGTCTTTCTTTCTCTTCCCTTTTCTTTCCTTTCCTTCTTTCCTCTCCCTCCACCCTGCATCCTCTTCTTTCCCTTCTTAATTTTTTTCCTTTCTTTTTCTTTCTTTCCTTTCTTCTTTCTTTTTTTCTTTCTTTCTTTCTTTCTTTCTTTCTTTCTTTCTTTCTTTCTTTCTTTCTTTCTTTCTTTCTTTCTTTCTTTCTTTCTTTTCTTTCTTCTCTCTCTCTCTGTCTCTGTCTGTCTCTCTCTCTCTCTCTCTCTCTCTCTCTCTCTCTCTTTCATTTCAGTGCTTGGCCCTGTATGTGCTGTAACAGGAACAAGGTAAAAGGAAACAAACTTCTCTTTACATAGATATCTTCTTTTGAAATATTTTTATTTCACCTTTTCTAACAGCAATATAGAAACAAATAATCATAAAAAATAAAATTATAAATTGTCCATTGATTATGTAATAGCACTTGGTATTGCTACAGAGAGGAGGCCTGGGGCTGGGTCAGGCCATCTCAAGCCAGCCCAGGCTCTCCAGGCTTCTGTGATCGCTGCTGAGCCCATGAAGGCATCAGACGTTACTGTGCACGGCAGTGTCAGTGGAGACTTTGAGTTTTACACCCAGGGGTCCTTGCGGATAGCAAGGAGAAGAGTAGATAATGAGTAAAACTGCAAACGATATTGTATACACATAGTAAGCCAGAAGGTTGTTCTGGGGAGCTGTCAACACAGGTTAGGTTACGGCTGACTCATGGGTATCTCTTGACCCACACAAGGCAGGAACTTCATAAAGTTAAATTGACTACGTTAGTTGTTTGTGTTCACTGTGGAAATAGGGAAGCTAACACATCTGACAACAAATAAGAAAACATATCTGTCTTTCCCCATCTACCTCTCTTCTCTGATCCCTTTCTCTTCCTCCTCCTGCCTTATCCCAAAATAAGATTCTCTTGGGATGAACTAAGCGAAATAGCCGAGGCAGCTAACCTATCCCAAAAAGCATGCCTTGAGCTCAGTTTTCCCTTAGAAAACAAAGAAAGAAGGAAGCATTAGGTTAACTGAGCAACTAAATAGCCCAGTTGACTCCAATTAATCGAACCGAAGAATTTCAACTAAATCATTCAGCTTTAGTTGATTCTAACTTTTTCAGTTACTGTGATGAATGATTTCTATAAAGAAAAAGAAATCAGTTTTGTATTTTTTTTTTTCCGGAACATGGAATGGGCTTTTCCATGTGGGTTCACGTATGTGCACGTGCATGTGCCTACAGAGCGTGTGGTGCATGTGTATAAGCTGCTTGAGAGTCCACGATCTCAGAACTGTCTCAAAGAAGTGGGGCAGGAAGGCCGTGTCAGGCCTTGGCAGTATTCGTATGCATTCCTGGGGAGAGGCGTAGCTGGACAGAGAAAAGTTCCCTCCTTTCCTGCCTGTGGGGGCCTGGCCTTCCGCCGAGGTCTTTGTGGATGAGGCCTCTGGGCTTTAGACTTTTGTCACTGCTCAGAGTTGGGCCAAAACACATTTGCCTATGTGGTTATAACTTTGTTGAAGGAAGCATAAACCCTCCAGGTCCTTGAGATCACAAAGAAGTGACCAATTTATTTTCTGTCTAATTAGGGAGCATTCATTTACATCCTCCTATGCCCGGCCCATAAAAGAAAAGCAACCTTTCCCCAGAGGGTCCTGGTGTGTGTGTGTGTGTGTGTGTGTGTGAGAGAGAGAGAGAGAGAGAGAGAGAGACAGAGAGAGAGAGAGACAGAGAGAGAGAGAGACAGAGAGAGAGAGAGACAGAGAGAGAGAGAGACAGAGAGAGAGAGAGACAGAGAGAGAGACTATGGAATCACGATTGGTAATACATGTTCTGTGGTTCCACTGTCCAGACATTGCTCTGAGTTTGACTCAAATATTCTGAATTGCAAAGTGGGAGGCGCTTGTGGGGGCTGAATGAGATGGAAAGTAGATGAGTTGGCAGTTTGCGGGTTTGGCAAAGCATTAGGATCGTCTTTGGAGTTCAAATTCATTGATATATGATCTGTCTAGTATTATCATAATGATTTAACACATCAATATTCTATAGCCACTAATGAGCTGTGTAACCTGAAGAAAGCCATTCTCTCTTTCTCTGGCTTTGCTTTACTCCTTAGTGAATGAGAGGTCTGTCTAGATAACATCAAAGGTCAACCCTCCCCCCAACCCCAACACACACAGCTGGCAGGGAACACCCGACACGTGGCACACTACCAGGTTAACTTTCCTAACCTGTTGAGGTCCTCACCTGGCTGATTCTCACTCTTGTCATTAGGGAGAACCTTTCAAAGTAAATTCCTGAACCTCTGTACTTGACCTACCCAACTGGCTTCACCATTCGGACAAAAATCAAACAGTTATTAACAAGTTAGCGACAAAATAGTAACAGTCTGATTCAATTAAAATAAGTCATTTAAGTCAGGCACAGAATCTCAGACAAGCTCAGGGCAAGTGTCTGGGCTCCCTCGAGTCTTTTTGGGGAGGGCGAGAAGGTAACATAGGTGACACTGTTGGAATCCACCAGGAAGCCTCTGCCGGCCCCAGGGAGAATTCAGTTGTGGGAAATCCACTGACAGACCTGCCCAGATCCGTCACCAGCTGTCTCCTAGGCACTCCCCCAGGGTTGTGGGGCGGCAAGGGGCTCTTTGGAGATTGGGACTGGTATATGTGGCTGGGCGGGCAAAAGGTGTCTGTGCTTCTCCACCCAAGCTACACCGGTGTGTCCTGGCACACACTGGAGATGGTTTACGTGGCACGCGGAAGTGCAAACTGTGGGGCCTGCATCCCCGAGCTGCACGTCGTGTTCCTTTCAGCTTCCCCTTCCTGCCGGGTCCCTGTCGAGGCTGTTGAGTCACCTGTTCAGGGTGAATTCGAGCCAGCGCTTAGGGGACAGCCACAGCAAGACGGGCACATCTGATATATCTAGTCACCTCCCTCTGGGGCTCAGGGCCTGTAGGGAAGCCTTCCACAAGAATCACAGCTTTTGGGGGCCCGCCTTTGGCATCCCAGTTCTCATAGCACCATTGATTCCTGGAAACAGGAATGTGGGTCGCTGAGGGGAGGACTGGGATGCGCCAGCTGGGAACCCGGGTCTCATTGAACATCTAGATGGAGTGGCTCTTTGGATGTGACGTGAGAGCCAGTCATGGGTGTGCTCGGCTTGAAGCTGGGGCTCTGGGGTGGTCACCTGCTGACAGGCCCTGCGGGTCCACAGTTCACCAGTCTCAGGGGAGCCCTGACTCCGGGGAGACCCGCTTGGAGTAACTTGGCCCCAATTCCCTTCCATGCCCCATCCCCACCTTCCAACCCCCCTGTTCTGACTCCTCTGCCCTCTGCTAGGGCTTCTCAGCAGAGGGAGAACCTCCGGGAGTTGATGTTCATCTTGGTGACTCCAATGAGCTTGAGCGGTGTGGAGAGGCTGAAGGAGGAGGCCAGCGGGGAGTCGCAGAAGAGGTCAGACAGCTCGTCGCGCTCCTCCAGCTCGTAGGTGGCGTCGTTAAGCATCCTCCTGTGGAGGTCGCAGGTCTGCTCGATCTTCAGCTTGTTGATGTCGCTGCGCAGGCGCATGAGCTGCCTGGCCAGGTGCTGGTCCTGCAGCCGCATCTCTGTCTGCAAGAGGGGAGGGGTGTCAGCACTGAGCTGGGCGGGGCTGCGGATCGCAGTCTCTGGCGAGCACAGACCCACTGACAGGAGACCCAGGTAATGGCTTGCAGCATCGTTCGGACCACCAGGAGGTATTAGCACATTCCCAGCTCAGGGAGGTGGACACACATACCGAGGTGACAAATGAGGACGTGCTTGCCAAACAACACTTTGTGCTGAACTAGATGCTATGTTTAAATCCTTCTGGAAGAGGTGCATGTTATTCCTGGCTTAATGGTATTTCCAGTTCAGACTCCTTATTTACAACTAGATTAAGAGTATAAAGAAATGCATGGGAGTGATAAATATCAAATTCAGAAGCATGGCTACCTCTGGGTAGGAAGGGGATAATGTAATTGGCGGGGGGAGGGTACATAGGGGCTTCAACTTGTACTGGTGATGTTTTATGTCTTGTGTTGGGTGGTGGGTACGCTGTTATATTGTTCTTTAAACATTTGAGAATGCGACGTTTCTTAAAGTTTCAAAAGAGCTAAACGTAAATATATGCTAATAATTATTAGGTGTTTTACTATAAACCAGGCGCTGTTCTAAGTGCTTTGGGTATGTATTAGCTTGGGTTGCCATACAAAACACCATAGACTGGGAGGTTTACACAAAAGACATGTATTTCTCACAGTCCTGGAGGTCAGGGAGTTCAAGATCAAGGTGCAGGCTGATGAGGTTCCTCGTGAGGACCCTCTTCCTAGGCTTTCAGACGGTCACTTTCTCGTTGCGTCCTCACATGGTGGAAAGAGAAAGTTCTGGTCTCTCTCTTTTTACCAGGATACTAATCCTTTCATGGAGGCCTCATCCTCATAACCTCAAAATCTAATCACCTCCCAAATGCCCCACCTCCAAATACCATCGCAGTGGGGATTAGGGCTCCAACATGTAAATTTTGGGAGGACACAGACATTCAGTCCATAACAGGGTAAATTAACATCAAACAGTCAGTCTCCTGTACAACTCTGTAAAGTAATTTCATCATCATCATCCACAATTTATAAATGAAGAGGCAGAGGCTCAGCAAAGTAAGCCACTGTGGCAAGTCACAAAGCTCATAAGTGACAGAGCTGGGATTAGGAACATAGACCATCGAACTCAGAAATCCAAACTGCTGACAACTAAATTCTCCTGCCTCTTCGGGTAGAGTTGGAGTGTGGGGGTATGGAGCAAGTTCTGTGCTCAGTGATCTAGTAGAAGGTTCATAATATTTCTAGTGCCTCAGTGCTTTCCGTCAGGAAGGGATGTGATAGCAATTCCTCACCTGGTCTAACATGTACAGTTTCCATGATTCATCTGCATGTCAACCTTGTAGTGTGGCAGCACACAGCCAGTCCTGTGGCACCAGCAGGACCGAGTGTTTGGCAAGTCTGGGAGAGTTTCCGTGAGTTGCTCGGTCTCACAGCTGTGTGATGGCAGAGAGGGGACTGAAGCCCGTGGGATCTCTTCAGGCTCCCGCTGTGGAGCAGCTTCCATTAACAACACTGCCGCTTAGACGGATCACCAGCTTTCCTACTTGACCCGGATCTGATTCCTACTCACCCTTCACTCTGCCTATGCTTTGTAAGTGCTTATTGTTTTAGTATTTTTGTGTCTTTTTTTGTATCTCAGCTGTGCCATTCACCTGGTGCTTGGAGCCGATCTGATTAAGAAAAATCAACCGTGAGATCCCAGAGTGCCCCTCCCCGTGGTGATGTAAATAAACCCAAATGTTCTTACTTTTCCCCCTGTTTACGTTCAGAATCAAGTGTATTACAGAGTAGAAAAATAAGCAGCTTCACCAGTCAGCATTTCATTGTTCTTTTCCACCCCTCTCTTTCATTTTAATATATCTTTCTTCCAGTTTCATAGAGGAGGAAAATCAAGATAGAAAGTCTTGATTGGGGATCAGCAAAGTATTAAATGGCAGAATTGGGATTAAGGTTCATAGGCTCCAGTTAATTAGTTTACTTCTCAATCCTTGGGCATAACAACCCAAATTTATTACCAATCAGACATTCTATTGGTCTAGAATAGCGCCAAATTAATGGTGGCAGGCTCACCACAGGACAGTTGGTCATTTATTAATTTATTTGGAGCTCCTAGCCATGCTTGCAGCTGGACTAGGTGCTGCCTAAACTCTTCTGAAGAAGACAGGAGTTAAATTTGAAAGACTGTGCTGGCTCACATGCATTGCTTTATTCGATATGGTCTTCTGGGAATTTTACTCAAACTTTGAAAAGCCAGGAACCCTATGGTTTAGACTTGACATCTGGCTTTAGGAATTGGATCTTTGCTCTGAAAAGATCCTTTAGAGTTGGAGACTTTGAGGTTGGGAAGGTGTCTGAGAGTGTCTGTGAGATGCTGCCAGCAGCGAGTACCTGGTGAGGGAAGGGGCCATCTTTCTATGGCCAATAGATCTGGTCAAAGGTCAGAGGAATGATTTAGGGTTTAAAACACATCAGAATCAGCTGGACAGAGGGGTGATAGTAGGGCACATGTCCAGTTTCCTTTGACAGGACAAAGGCCACCTTGGTGGAGCTGCCTCGCACACCCACTCAGCTTGGATGCACTCAACTCTGCATGAGGGAAAGAAGAGAAGAAGACCACATTTCCAGTGGGGCTGATGACTCTGGCCATTCCGCTTGTTTGTGCCCCAAGGCGAGGAGGGGCTGGGAATCTGATGTTTCCTCAGCAGGCCTTGGTGCTGAGGGCGTCTCACAATGTGAGCACCCCACCCTGGGAGCTGCTCAGAATACATATTTTGTTATGTCCCCTAAATGTAAATCAACTATCTCATCTGATGCTCCAAGAAACAGTGTTTATCCCAACACAAGAAAAACCAAAAGTGTTGTCCCTATTCTCACCTACTCTGTGGGCCACAAAGGGGTTTTCCAAACACTAATTTGACACTAATTTGAATCCTTACTTAAGAGGTAACTGCTGTAATCAAACCAGATCCATATAGAAAAAAGTTCCCATAGCCTCCAAAGAAACTTGAATAAAATGTGCAAGGCTAAGAGGCTTCCCCACCCCCACCCCCCAGAATTTTTTTCAATTGTGGTAAAATACACATAACATAAAAAGTGTACGGTTCAGTGACATTAAGCATCTTCTCATTGCTGTGCAACCATCACCATCATCCATCTCTGGAACTCTTTTCATTTTGCAAAACTGAAACTCTGTTCCCATTAAACAACAACTCCCTGTTCCCTGTCCCCAGCACCTGGGGACCACCATTCTACTTCCTGTCTCTATGAATTTGATGACTTTAGGCACCTCATATGAGTGAAATCTATAGTATTTGTCTTTTTGCAACTAGTTTATTTCACTTAGCACTAGGTCCTCGAGGACAGCTCATACAACTAAGAGGCTTTTTTTTTTTTTGCGAGGCAACCCTTGCTTGACCTCGCAGATTACAAGGACCTTGTCAGCTTACAATCCCTTATTTTTTATTTTTTATGCCTACAGCACCTGGTCTTCCTAGGTGGTCTCCCATCCAAGTACTAATCAGGCCCAACCCTGCTTAGCTTCCGAGATCAGACTGGATTGGGTGTGTTCAGGGTAGCATGGCCGTAGACTAAGAGGCTTTTTTATAAATTAGAAAATTCTAATGAACATATGTTTTGTTGATCCCGTGTAGAGTGAATCAGAAGCATGGCAGTTCCTGAGGGTGGTTACGGAGAGCAGGGTCTGGGATGGAGCTCCTTCCTTCTTTTTCTCTCTTTTCTGCCAAGGAGACAATCCAGTGGTAATGACACATACCCATCTTCTGATACATACTGTCAGATACAGTTTCCATATATTATTTTACTGCATCTTCCCATGACTCTAGATGATAGGGTTTTTGATCTGTTTTATGGTTTAGGAAACCAGCTCTGAGAAGTTAAGGAACGGTGCATGGTAGCACTGATCACATGGGGGCCCCCCAGAGCCCAGAGCTGGTGGCCTCTCCATGACTCCTATCCATCCATTGGTGGGCTGGGGCCTAGAGGCAGCGGAAATGGGAAATCCATTGCTGTAGGGTTAGAATCTGGGTTCAAGCTGAACCTTATTCCTCACTAGCTGTGTGGCTTTGGGCAAGTCACTAACGCTCCTTGAATTTCTGTCTCTTTATCTACAGAAAAGGAATAATGCCTATTCCAAGGACTGCGAGAAGCAAATTAAATAGTAAGTAATACGCCAAATAAGCTGAACAGCACCAGTCAGGTAAAGGGAAGAGGTTCACGGCTTAAGTCCTTTCTCTCCAGGGCAAGGTACAGGATGTGGGAATTGCCCGTGCTTCTCAGTTTTAAGACTTGATTAGAGAAACTGAGATACTAGTCCCAATGATTCAACTAATAATGTGAGTTTAATGCTCTCCTGGCAAAGGCTCAACTGTAGGAAGAGAGGATTTGTAATCCCCCGCCCCAGGGATAAAGGCACTTGCTGGATGCTCAGAGGTGTGGCTTGTAATTCCAGCAGTCCTATAATTAGGGTACAGTACTTGGTAAAAGGGAGCGAAACCACACTGCATCGCTGTCAGCACATTGTGGTAAAAGCACAGGAAGGGGGGGGGCGGTGGATGACCGGTGGCCTCTTGAGATAACTGCACTCGTGGTCTATGCTTGGCTGTAGCCCACACAGGTTTGTTTCCTTGTCAGACGAGAATGCTTTTTAGGAGAGCTTGGTTGTTTCTTAAGGTAGAAGGTGAATCCCCAAGGGAAGGATTAAGTAACTGAAGTTGGTAATTAAACTGTTGAAACTGCTCTTCCAGAGGAGATTTCCTTCGCTTGGCTTGGTGAGGGGTGGAGAGGGGCCTGGGAGAGGGGAGACTCCCAGGAGGATGGCCAGCAAGGAAATTCAGAGGACAGAAAGACCAAATACGAGTGTGTAAGTGGTTTGCTGTGAGGTCTCTTTAGCCAAGTCTCATGGGTTAGAAGAGGCGTTGACTCCTGCCTCTGGCTGGGTGACATAAAGACAAAGCCCGCGGTAAAATGATGTGG